AATGGATGTTAGCTCAGAGCAAATCTTTCCCGGAAAGAAAAAAAAGGCAGGATGTTTGCCCTAATGAAACTTCAAAAAAAAAAAAAAAAAATGGGGATGTGCTCAGAAGACATGATGCCTTTTAATAGTCTTTTTTCAGGATATTTACTGATATTTTTCTTTGGGCCTTAGTATACAATCAATTTTTTAAACTGCTTGTGTATACTTTGAAAGGCAATACACTCTCTCTTTATGGAGACACAAAGTTTAAAAGAGATTGCTGTTGATCTAACCCTATTACTTAGTCTTGTCTGCATCATCTACGAAACTGAAAGTAGGGTGACTGCTTCCCCTCTTACTTCCAGTCCTTTTCAGCTATGATTGCCTCATTCTTTCTCTTATTTTATTTCTCATTTTCCTGGCAAATGTCTTTAATCACTGTATTCAGGGACATGTCACGTATCAGAGTTTCCAAATCTTTGCCCACACATGAGTATTTTCTTTCTTTCCAAACTAGACAGCCCAGGGGAACACATCAAAGTCTCCAAACCTCACGTCTCTCTGGAAATTCCCACATGATGCTTTTGGGGTCATGCTCCTCACCCCTCAGCCAAGCATTTCTGCTAAGGGTCATGTTGTGTGCCCAGCTGGTTGACACCTACCAGCTGTATCCTTGGTGTCCTCGGAACAGGCAGAAGTTTGAGAACCTCTAGAATTTAGTGTCAATGACAGGCTGAGGGCGAGTTTTGTTTGTACACGGGGAACCTGACTTCTATTCTGAGGTACCCGCCCGGGCCTGGGTCAGGGCCATCTCTGTGGCTGCTGCTGGACGGGATGGGGACTGGCAGTCCCTCCAGAGCCACATGCGGCGGAGGAGGGAGCTCTCTAAACAAACAGCAGTGCTGTTACTAGAAGGTGGGGGCAGGGATGCCAGGCAGCCAGCAACCACATGCGTCCACCGCAGGCTGCTGATGGGGAAGTGATTTCACTAAACCGAATGGGGACCCCCTCCGTGGGACGTCTTCTCAGGATTCTCACCGAAAGTGTCTCAATTATGTGGCTTAAACCTAAGGCACTGAACTGAGGTAATTCTCTCAATCTTATGCCTCATTTCTTTTTCTAATGTATACAGGTCTGTTCACCTAGCTTGGCTAATGCCTATCAGTTGTATAGAACATGGATATCATATTTTTTTCCTAAAGGGATTGGATAACTTGAACTACAGCAGATTATATTCATTTATACACCCATGTTGTCACAGGGAACAGACTTATTACCATGCTGAGGCTGGGAGTTGTGGGGATTTTGAATCTGGCATTCATTTAACATCTTGAGCATCTCTCATCACTATTTCCTGATTTTCACAATGTGGAACACTTGTTTCACATAAAAAATGTATTAAGACAACTGTTTTAGATATCTATGTACCTCCTGTGCCACAGCCTGAGTCGAGTGTTAACTATGAGCTGTTTACTTGGGGAGGGACCCAGGTATCAGCTGTGAGACTGCAGGGCTCATGGGAGGGGAGAATGGTTTCACACTCAGGCACTTCGGGCACAGATGATCCCCACAGTTGTCCTCATGCTTGCTATTTCAAACAGAATTCAAGAAAATAAAATCAAAATAGCTAAGGGAATATTCTTTTAATAACGAATAGATAGGAAAAAATAGTATTAAATAGATACCATGGCAATATAACTTAAAATAAGAAACTTCAATTAAAATCATAAACAATATCAACTACAAAAATAAGTTCAACTAAAACAAATATGTTCAAATAGAACCCATAGGCCAAGATGTGATTGGCTACCGCACATCTCCGGCCCTGCTGGATGGACCCCGGGAGCGCAGAGTGCCCCACAAGGAGGCCTAGAGTCTTGGGTGGAGAGCGAGGACCACAGCCAAGGTCTACACTGAGTCTCGGCGTCTTAAACTCAGAATGTCCTGTGCCATGAGCCAGATGGATTCCCAAAATCTTTTCCAGACTTGCTGACAAGCGCATCGTTTCCCATCCTGTACTGTACAGGTGTTTCCATTTTTACGTGAAGAACAGGGCTTTATTTTTACCCCTAACAAACACTTTGGTTCTTTATTTCAGCCCACTGCTATCCAGAGTTTGGGATAAAGGGCCTTACTTTACCTCCAAGTTCCAGGCAATCTAAAAATGTTACTTTCTATATCCTCCTCCAAATATCTGATAAAAATAAATAGGACACAACTTTTTAAATTGTAGATTTAAAGTAATATATACATTTGCGATCAAAAGAAAATGTCCATTTTTCCAGTGTTTATAGAGAAATGAAAATACTGCATGACCCTGGTTCTCTGCTCTTTTCGGGGCGGCGACCTTTCTGCTGGAACAGGCGAGAAGAAACTCTTCTGGAATCTGTGGGAGGGGAGGTGCAGGGATTCCTGAGGCTGTTCAGGCCTGTCTAAAGCTGTGGTGAAGGGCAGCAGAGGCACAGTAAGGAGCGAGAGGCCCCGACAAGGAAGCTTCCTCCTGTCGAAGCCTTTTGTTGCTGCTAATGTTGCTTTTCTTTTTATCTACGTAATAATATAAAGAACATGGAAAAAGTATTTGCTTTGCAACATCACGGCCCAAAAAAACACAACTGCAGCAAAAGCTTGGCAATTTTATAGTAAAAGACAGGCTCTTGCTGTCCATCTCCCAAAAGAAAGAGAGGCAGCAGGACAATCCTGCCCCACCAGGCTCTGGAGAAAAAGGGAGTGCGTCCAGCACACCTTGTTGAGACAAGAGGGAAGAACAAGGAAAAACATTCCAGAAGTTTCATCAACATACAACCATCTTAGCCAGAAAGAACTAAGCCAAATATAATAAAGTTGAAAACCAGCATTTCTAAACATTTCACTTTCATTCAGATTTAATTAACAAGTTAACAATCTATTACTGTGCAACAAAAATTATTTTCACCAATGAAACAAAAGGACACACAACCTGAAGATAATCTGATTTTGTTTTATTGAATACTACCCCACACCCAATATTTACAGATGTAATTAAATGGAATTTATAAGACCACCGTGTGGAACATTTTAAAAAGTTAACTTAAAACATTCTTAATGGAAATCGTCAATTCACATGTGTTCATACAATAATTTATAATTTTTCAGCCAATATCCAAGATGATTTATTTCATAAAACCTCTATTTTCAAGAAGAGATAAATCTGAAGAAATATAAAAATTCAGAAAAATATTTCCATATCTAGTCATAATCTTCCAGTGTCTCTGTAAAAGAAATCAATAACAATTATAGACATTCTGGCTACTGTAAATTAAATATAGATTTTCTCATTGCATGACTACTTTCTTTAATGCCATATTTAACACAGAAGAGCTATTCTTCTTTTATCATATTTTCATGATAGATTTAAATATTTAATTTTTTTATGTTTAAAAAGAAATATATATCAAAATTTGAAAGCAGTACCTAAATATTACTTTAAAAATAGCAACAAGGCATATGGCCACACGTTATCACCTTGATTCTCCATTATGGATGGGCCATGGAGGAAACAAAACGGACAACAAAAGGGAGGAAGTCCTCTAACCAGTCCCGGGTGTGACTTAGCTGCTTTCACAGACAGTCAGAGGACATCAGAAATCCAGCACGCACCTCTGCGGTCCACGAGAACACTGGCATGTGAGAACCGAAGGCCTAAAGTACATCTCTAACAATATTCTCAGAACAGAGCTGCAAAACTGTGGGGATCATAAAGGCAGATGGGGGTGTTATTTTCTCCATCTGCACAAATGTACAGCTATCTCTCTGGTTTTAGGTGACTTGGCTTTACCACACATGAACAGAATTCAAGAATTATAGTCTTTCTTATCTTTAAAAAGCACAGGCTGTGTTACTACACACAGCCTATTCTCCCTGCTCCTGTGAAAGGCTACGGTTCTTCAAAATGTATATTACTATGTTTTGGACAACTAGATATTAAAATGTAAAGCATTTAATCCCTATCTATGCATTTTGAACCACGTCAAAAATGACAAAGGTAGGGGCCGGCCCCTTGGCTGAGTGGTTAAGTTCTCGCACTCCACTTCGGTGGCCCAGGGTTTCACTGGTTCGGATCCTGGGTGTAGACATGGTACCACTCATCAGGCCATGCTGAGGCGGCGTCCCACATAGCACAACCAGAGGGACCCACAACTAGAATATACCACATGCACTGGGGGGCTTTGGGGAGAAGAAGAAGAAGAAGAAAAAATGATTGGCAACAGATGTTAGCTCAGGTGCCAATCGTTTTTTTAAAAAAAGCCAAAGATAAATCAGTGTGTCAATGATAGCAACTTCTACATTAAAACCCTGAAAACTAACTTCACCATTTTTAACGTATTCATTTTGGCTAGAATAACACTGCTGAAGGGGCAGATAAGCATTACTAAGAAAATCATAATGAATAAATATCACCTATTGTCCACAATTTTAAAAGACTCATTTGCCAGAAAAGGTTGTGGCAATAGTAGTGGTGGATTTTTTTTCTTAAGTAAAACTTTCCCTTATACATAATAAATAGGTTTCCTGTTCAACAAAACTATTTTTCAGATAATATGAAAGGAAAGTCATATATCTGAAATCACAGGAGTTCAAAATAATGGCGCATGAAGGACCAGCTTTAAGTAACAGAAATTACCCCTATTCATGAACAGTTTAAGTAGCTGGTAAAAATATACAGAAATGAGAGTAAAAGCTGGAACAATGGGGTGAAGTATATTTGCAACCAAATCCCAGCAGAGAGTATCTTCACCCACGATCATTCAATGTCAACATATGCATGCATCTGTTTCATAGAAATGAGACAATACGTATGCTTGATGTGTTTCTATTAAATGTAAACAGACTACTATAAATTTGAATTTTTTTCTGAAATCCACATTTTGTTCTGGAAGTTGCCATTTATCAAATACAACACACTGATGACCATTGTTCCTTGGTTAACATACGTTAATGTCAGGGACACACATGAGCTTTCCCAAAATGCAGGGCCAACTTACCCGTGGGGTCAATAGTTGATCATCTTTCGAAGGGCATCATAGCACTTCCATTTGTCTGGGATGTAGAAAGGCTCAAAAACGTGGGGAAATGGTGTGTCGTACCCACATACTCTTGATATAGGAGCCTCTAGGTTCAGGAAACATTCTTCCTGCAGAGAAGAATACAGATGGTTAACTGCAAGAATATTTCTTTTTATTCACAGAGATGAAACATTTCAACTTAAAATACAATTGCATCCAAGGGCATTAAGATAATTAAGTGTAATGTAATGTGAAGAAAGCAGGTAACAAATAGCATGTTTGGCATGATCCTGGTTTTATTTAAAATATGTTTTCATATATATATATATGAATTTTATGCCTACATACATATCTATCGTTTAAGCCAAGCTGGGATTATACTAAACAGGCAAATATTTTGTTCTACAAATATAAACATGAGGCATGAGAAAATCATAACAAAATGTTCACAGTAAATTCTGCAGCTTGAAATTAGTGATAGTATATGTCTTCTTGTTCCCTGTATTTTTCAAATTTTATATACAATGAATATGTATTACTTTATACTGAATGTTTGTAATTACTCTATACAGCCAGACGGAACTTCCACCAGGTACTTGACCATGTTCTGGTCTCTCTCACGGCCAGGCTTTTGCAGATGCCATCGGCCCCTGGCCACTCACTCCCTAAGCCCACTGCTCCTTGCCTGATGGCCGCGCTCACGCCTCTCCGGGATCACCTTAGGAGCCCCTCCGCTCAGAAGCCTTCCTTGACAGCACCTCCCACCCCCACACCAGCGAAAGGAAGGGGGGCTTCTGTTATGAGCTCTCGCAGCACTGAACTCAGCACGGTCCAATGGGGTCTCCCCGGAGAGACGATGAACTCCAGAGGCCAGAGATCTGATTCAAGAAAACGTAAAACCCCAAACAAGGGAGAGCCCTGAAGAAATCATCTTCAGAAAAAGACAACGTTATTCAGGTGACAAATTCAAATTTGAAAATGAAATTTTCAGAGAGTTAAAAAAATCTAAAAAGAGATACGTGATTAAACTACTCTTAAGAAAATGATATTAACTTTACCATTCACAGCTACTACCTGAAATAAAACCTTTGGGTTTTTACACATCCACTTTCTACACTGCTCTGCTTCACAAAGGATTTGAGGAAGTCCACATTTTCTTACATACTTACTAACTGCATTTTTAAATTTTCACTTAAGCAGAAACTTTCACATGAAAGAATCCTGACACCTCATGCTCAGTCCCCACCCTCTGTGCATATTTCTTCAAGTGACAAGTGTATCAGGGCAGAAAGGGCCTGGGAACAGGACAAATTAGTTCCAACCGGCCATTTCCAGACCTCCCTCTGCCCCACGGACCCCTATCAGACACCAAACCAGGGTTGGTTTTCCCAGCAACAGGAAACCTTCATTAACAACTTGGGAACCCTGCCTACGGAAGGTTTAAAGAGTCACCTAAGAAATTCCACTACTAATAAACTCAAAGTAGGTGACAGACTGGTGGATGGTTTCTTCATTGAGACAAGCAATTTTAAAGGGATTTAAATTGTCAACTTGGGATTAACTCAGTTTTATTACTTTAGTTGACAAGGGTTGTTTTTCCATCTTCCCTAAATACTTCACCCTTCATCAACAAACTATCCTTGGACACTGCAAAATACAGAAAATCAAGGGCAAAATATTCCACTAAATGCTTTTGATTTACTCCTATAAAACACTATTTTTTTTAACTAGACCCTGGAAAGTTGGCCTACAACAAAATGATCTGTGTTTGTGAAATCATTCCTTTTAGCACAATGACTAACATCATCAACTAAAACTTTTTTTCAAATTGCAATGCTCTTAATTCCTCATTTTGTGAGAACCACTCTTTACAAGAATATACTTGTCTGCATGGGCAGAGAAAAAGGTCCGAGGTCACACTGGACCGTACACAGTGGTCACTGTGAGGCTGGGAGGGGCCAGGTGACACAGGCCTCCACTCTGTCCTTTATACATATTGTTTGAGTTTTTACAAGTATTACTTTCGTAATTCGATGACACTGAAACAAAGGAAGAGTAAAGGGTAGAACCATCTTCCTACGTGAATAAAAGTTTCCGTTACATAAATTTGCAATTTTACATGTAGCATTTCCTTAATTTGGAAACAATTACTGTCAGTTATGTGGCATTAATTGATTGTAAAGTACTATATATATAAATATATAAAATATCTTGTAAAAATCATAGACGATAATTCAAGGATACATAACAGAAGACTATGATTCAATTTTATAAGGATACCCTGACCAACTGAAACAGTTTGAAGTTTTAATGTTTTGCTAACTCAAGCATATTAAAGAAACTTAAGTTCTTCTTTCCAAGGACTTGAGTTAAAACTTCTTTTAAAGCTTTGGATATAAGGTGTTTGGGTCAAGCAGCTGTACACATACTTCCCACTGAACTGGTTCACATACAAATGATTTATGTGTGACTATGTTTCTTTGGGCATCCGTCATAACAAGGCATCCTGGTTCAGCCTCAGGCTTTTTCATACAGAAGCTGTACACATCCACGAACACACACACACACACACACAGAAAAAGAAATATTTGAATCTCATTGACAGATCTGCAGATCAATGTACCAGATTAATCCTCCACAAAGCCTCTCTCTTCATTATACACCACATTACGACACCATACTATAGCAACGATGTGCCCTGAATTTAAGACAATCCAGGTTAATCATAATCCTCTTCTCCACTGGCCACATAAGCACACACATTATTTTTAAAACAGTTTGATGATTTTTGATTTGGAAATAGTAACGCACATAAAATCTGAAAGAAATAATTACCTAACCCACAGGGTCGTTGTGAGGATTACAGGAGGCATCCAGCCCACAGGCTAAGATGGGCAGTGTCAGTTTCTGGTCTCTCTCCCTGGAGAGCTTGTCTGTGGACTGGCTCCATCAACATGGAACAATGGCAGATTTGGCTGTGACGTTCCAAAGCAGAACACCGTGTACCACGTAACCAGGGGCAACGGAAGAGAACCCGGGCAGGTGTCAAGAGAAGCTTTTCTCCAGCTATTTATGTTCAGAATTTTCACCTTGGATCCAGTGAAATGCCTGAAGGTGAGCCCTAATGTAGTAACGGCGACATACATTTTGTTGTGGTGTGTGCTTTCACACACATAATCAGGAAAAACAGATATCCCTTCAAAAGACACTTGTGTGAAATTCTAGTACATAATATTTGAATTTACTTCTGAACATGCCTTTTTCTAACTATGAGAATTTTCTTTCTAAAATATGTTAATAACAAGGATAGTAGCCAGTACTTATGATGTAGCAAGTATGGTGCCAAATGAGTTATATTTTATCTCATGTAATCATTTCAGCAAATCTCTGAGGTGAGTACTATATTCCATTTCACAGATGAGGAAGCCATGGGGAAGGAACTCGCCAAGGTCCAACAGCTACACCCGACTCTGAGCCCATATTCTCGGTCACTCTTCTGCAGATTTTGAGGTACTACTCTTGAGGATAGCAATAACAAGAAAAAAAATAAAATAGGAATAAAAAAACAGTAAAATGGAAGGTGGGCAGAGATTAAGATTTTCTAACAGAACCTCGAGAGGCATAACAGGTGAAGTTGGGTCTAAGAAGCCTCTGCCGTATGTACAAGGAGGGCAGAAGCCAGGGGATGTGAGGAAGCTGAAAGCACACAAGGAGCAAGAGGGGAACACAGAGCAGCAGACGAATGGTCCTGGGTCAGGACCCTCCTGGTTACGCTCAACGATTTACATCAGCAGGACGCAAGCTGCTTATGTATCAGCCACCCGGGTTGCTATGCACATTATACCCAGGAGAGGAAGCTGACGATGTGAAATAACAATTCCAAATTATAAAAATCATAGACACAGGCAAAATAAATTCCTTATTTGCCCATTTTCTGGAACAAAACAAATTTATCAGTATCTTGTTGAAATTGCAGAGGAGAGAGATTCTGTAAATTTCCTAGCAGGTAAGAGAGGGTAAGTTAAATTTAATAAAATAGGATTATCATTTTAAGATAAAATCTTATTGACAGGTTTTAAGAAATTAAGTGTACTGCATTTATGCCTGTTTTGATGAGTGCAGAACAGGTCATGCATTATACGTCTGTGTATGTAAACGCATATATATTAGGGCTTTCACGAGATCACGCGAGGCCTCTGGACACTTAACCCCGTTTCCCCGCTAAAGTTTTAAGCACGTCAACCATAAATTCTGCTGTCACCACGTCGCAGGAGCTGCGTCGCCGAGATCGGTCTCGGGCATTCACACAGCGGCTCTGGTCACTTTCAACAAATCTTTTTGTTGTTTTCATGGCAAGGTTGCATGATATAATTGATACAGCATGGAATTTGGAATTCTCTCTGAAGGGAATCTTTGTTCTACTAGGATTTAACCTCTCCGAGCCTCTGTTTACTCAACAGCAAAACAGGAGTATTAAAACTCTGCAATGCAATGCCATCGTCTGACTGCGCTGTCTCTGCTGTGACCCTGCCTGTCTGCGTCTCCAGACTGTGCAGCAGCGTATGAAAAGTACCTGCTTTCATACCTGACACGTCCTACTGCTCCATAACTTCCAGGTGTCTGTTCTCCTCTTAAGACTTTCCAAGTTATAATAAACACGAGGTCTTTGAAATGAAAGACCAAACCATCACTGAAGACGGGATTCTGGGACACAGAACAATTAACACTGAGAAGCTATAACCCTTATAGCACAGTGTCTGAATAGCTACCATTTATTGGACACTTACTAAGCCTTAAAAAATGTAAGAAAATACCAAAAATAAGTAAGTGCTGTATGAGGAAGGAGGGCGGAGCCCCCTGAGGTTATGAGGGAGCCAGGCTGCACGCAGGTCTCCAGGAAAGGCAGGGTACGGTGCTGCCCCCTGGTGGGGAGCAGGGAGCCGCGACACTAATTGCCAGTTCCTGGGGCTGACACGACAGATTAAGCGTGGCTAGAAAGGGAAGTCAAGAGCTCCAGAAATGGTTAAAAACTCCCCCTCAAAAAGAACATGATTTCCAAGCAGTGTTACTATAGAAAAGCAGCCTGTCAGTCAGCTGCTAGAAGGTTACAAGCCCCACAGATGCCTGA